CCCTAACCCTAAACCCTAAACCCAAACCTTAAACCCCAAACCCTATACCCCGACTCTAGGGCTAGAAAACACGGGACCCTAAACCCGAAACCCTAAACTCCAAACCCTACAACCCAAACCGTTAAAACAGAAAAGAGCTGAAACCCCAAACCCTAAACCCTAAACCCTAAACCCCAAACCCTAAACCCCAAACCCTAAACCCTAAACCCTAAACCCCAAACCCTAAACCCTAAACCCTAAACCCCTAAACCCTAAACCCTAAACCCCAAACCCTAAAACAAATCTGAAAGACAGGAGTCTCGCCCATGCCGCCCCAGATCACCTCGTGGAGGGAGTCCCTGCAGCAGCTAAGCCGGCTCTAGAACTCAGGTCGCTGTGTCACACCAACTGATAGATGACAAGAACAAAAAACTAACAATATAGCAATATAATAACATATAATATAAATAGTAATGTAACAATACTCAATTATCTTTCCTGTGTTCTCGGGCTTCAACTTAGCGTTATGGTTTAGGCTTTGGGGCTTGGTGGGGGTGGGTCCTCCGGAAATCGCCAGAGCAGGACTTGCTCTGCTGGGGGGGGGGGGGGGGGGGAGTTCTCTCGTCTCCATTTGGAGGTTTCCGAAAATACGAGTGCCTTACTGTGGGGTCGTTATAATAATGATCCTACTATTTAGGGTACTATATTTGGGTCCCCTAAATTCCGGCTACTCCCATTTTCTCCCCTTGCCAGCGTGGCACTTGTCTCTTTCGAGGATGCCCACTAACCTAGGAATAAAAAGGGCTACCTTTTTTGGTATTGGGTAACTTAACAGGGAAGGTGGGACTACAAAAAGGGAATAAGGGTACTACTGGGCATCCTAGCTTTTGGCTTGCTTGCTTTTGCTCGGCTTCTGGTTCCGTTGTGCAGGCATCAAAGACTCTAAGCAAAGGCTAAGGAGTAATTTACACCCGTGCCACGAATCTCACACTTTCTCAGCACAACATCACGGCCTATCCTCAACCCAGAAAGCCCAACGCCCCTTAATCAAGGAATCTGGCTTAAATTATCTAGGGCTTCATGTTATGATTTAAGCTATATTCCTTAATTCCCCTATAGACCCCCTTCTAGATCCCTTTAAGAAGCCCTTTAAGGAACCCTAGGTATTCCTTAATTAAGGGGTTTTGGGCGGCTCTCTGGGAACCCCCCAATCCCAGCCTCGAAACCCCACACCTTTAACCAAAAACCATAAACCTCGCACTGTCAGTCCGAACGCCTCAAACCGGTTAAACCGGAAAGGGACCCTTGAAGGAACCTGCAGAAGTCCTTATAACCGACCGGAGGGACCCAACTTTAAACTTTAAGCCAAATAGCCCCAGACCTTAAGGGGTCTTTAGGGCTCCTTTAGGCTCGGGGGTTTAGTGTTTCGGGTTTTGGCTTTAGGGAGCTTGAAACCGATCCTTTAAGAACCCTTTTGACCCCTTAAGCGAGGCCTTCAAGGACCCCTGTAATTAGCTCCGACACCACCCCTTAAAGGAACCCTACAGACCCTCAGAAGCACCAGACCCTTAAAGGAACCCTGAAAGGAGCCCTACAGACCCATAACTGGACCCTGAAAAAGGACCCCACGGGAACCACAACTTCGCAATATCGGCCTTTCGGGCCCAGGTATCTCTGGCCAATGGTAGCAAACATAGCCAAAGTTGAAGTGCGTGCCTGTCTTGGATACAGGGTTTATGAAGGCTAAGCTTAGGCTTCAAGGTTTAATGCTTACAAAGGTTTAGGCTTCGGTTTGGGATTCAAGGTTCAAGGTTTACAAAGGTTTAGGTTAGGGTCCGGGGTTTTAGGGTTTATACATAGTGTTTAGGGATTCTCTACAAGGTTTGGTTCGGTTTTAGGGTTTATCAAGGTTTAGGTTTGGGTTCAGGGTGTTTAGGGCTGTCAAGGGTTTAGGATTGATGGTGATTTGGAGTGTCGGTGTCAGGAGGGTGGTTGGGGACTCAGAGTGGTTTAGCTGCAGTAATCTTGTGTACCTAGGTACTCGTCAGGGGTTTGGGGGTATCTGGCGTAGATTTGAGGCATGGGGGTTTCAAAAGGTGTGGTCAGCGAGCAGACGTGGAAGGACACTGGGACACAGCAAGCCTGGTATGTTGCAACATTTCAGGAACCATATATGCCCTTAGGATCCTGGTCCTGGACCTACGCAGCTGATAGTTTTTACCTTTGGCCTGAGAATAGCAAGTCAGAAAGCGGTTTTAAGCCAAAGAGACTGGATTCCTGGTCTCGTCAGTACCAGATGCAGAAGTGTATGCGGTACTTCTCCATGGCATTCAAACTCCGGGAGCCGCAAACCTTGCGAAGCGACTGACTCGCCCCACAGAGTCTTCCGAAGCGCAACACCAAGGGGCATGTCGGGTCAAGTGCAGGTTATGTGCCGACATATGCTGGCAGGTGTGGCATTTAATCGCTACGCGAAAGCGGCGACTAAACCCTTGAATCCTAAACCCTAAACCCCTAAATCCTAAACCCCAAACCTAAACCCTCAGTTGCTCAAACAACTGTAGCCGTCCAGGAAGACTTTTCCAAGGCAGCAGGTCTGCTCTTACCCCTAGGGCTCTGAGAACTCATATATTAAGGCTTTTAGGCCCCAAAACCGTGCTATATAAGGCTTTTGGGCTATTTTGATCCCCAGGGTTCGTTGATTGTAAGAAACATGTCGGCGCATGGAAAACCTTGACTCCGTCGATGGAGCCGAATATTTCGGGGTTCCATACTAGTGAGGTTCCTTCTTTACCCAAAATTCTCTACAGCACCGTAGTGACACAAACCCTAAAAAGGGACCCCAATTTGGAGAACTAGCTAAACCCCAAATCCTACCACCGAATCCCCAAAACCCCAAACCCTAAAAGGGAGCCAAATTGAGAGAATGACGCCATAACCCCCCTATAGTAGAAGCCAGAAAGTTGGAACATGAGTATCCTCATGCCCTTAAGGTGAGGCATATGGGATCCCGGCACTCATCCTCCTAAACCAATGTTCCAACTTTCCGGGATTCGCCCTAAACCCTAAACCCTAAACCCCTAAAACCCTAAACCCTAAACCCTAAACCCCTAAAACCCTAAACCCTTAACCCTAAACCCCTAAAACCCTAAACCCTAAACCCTAAACCCCTAAAACCCTAAAACCCTAAACCCTAAACCCTAAACCCCTAAAACCCTAAACCCTAAACCCTAAACCCCTAAACCCCTAAAACCCTCAACCCTAAACCCCCTAAAACCCTAAACCCTAAACCCTAAACCCCTAAAACCCTAAACCCTAAACCCCTAAACCCCTAAAACCCTAAACCCTAAACCCCTAAACCCCTAAAACCCTAAACCCTAAACCCCTAAACCCCTAAAACCCTAAACCCTAAACTCAACCCAGCACTGCAGAAGGCCATGCCTTCCCCCCACCAGGCGTCTCGGAGGCACGGTGGACGGTTTAGGGTTCAGGGGTTTAGGGTTTAGGGGTGTAGGGTTTAAGGTTTAGGAATTAGGGGCTAACGGCTTTCGGAGTCGAGGGGTTTGGGATTCAGGGGAGTTGCGGGTTGCGTTTAAGGGCTTTAGGAGTTGAACGGGTTTCGGGAGGTTAGCGGTTAGGGTTTTTGTCTGGGTTCTAGGATTTTAAGAGCGCATACCCTCAGGCCTGCAGGGCCTAAAGCCTAAACTCCTAAACCTTCTTTCGGTAATACTGCTGATGGACACAAAATCCTGCATTCCCCATTATAAGGAATATACCATAGTTCCCATAGTTTAGAGTCCTTAGGGTCATGCAGGATTTTGTCCATCAACTTTATGTTTGTGTATAGGGACAAGAACCCCGGAAAAGAAAGCTGGGCCTTGGAGAACTAAGACTTAAATAAAAGGCTTGGTGGCTTCGGGGCAAAGGCTTTAGGGTCTAGGGCTTCGGGTTTAGGTGTAGGGTTCGGGGTCTATGGGGTTAGGGTTTAGGCTTAGGGTTTACTGTACGGTCTAGGGCTTAGGATCACAAGACAGCTTCCGATTGAACTGTTTCGGTTTGCGGTCTTGGGTTTTCGTTTCGTGGGGTATATAGTTCGGAATGATCTAGGGATTGACAGAGGCTTCGTGCACGGGCTCAAAAGGGTTTATCAAATGTACGGCTCAAGATGGCTTAGGGTTCGGCTCAGGCAAGGATTCTGTTGGTCTGGGTGGCTGCCCGCTTACGGGGATTTAGGGTGCGAACTGAAACACCTAGATGGATCGTTGCGGTCGTGTACCATATGTTGAAATGATTCCAGCACACTTAAAGACAATTCATCCCTCCACTGCAAAGCCCTGAGCCCGTGATCTGGAAGAACCGACAAATTACAGATTTTGAAATAGGCTTCCTTCCAATTCTACGAGGGCTTAAGGTTTAGGGGCCCTGATAATTACAATCGCGGCAGAGCGGCAGTTGCCTAAACAGCATCATACACAAACCCACACACACACACACACAGACGGACACAGACACGGACATGGACACGGACACACAGACGGACACACGGGTCAGAAGACAGCTGTTGACCACACCGTGTCGAACAGGGGCAGATGAGTAGCTGAGCAGCAGCTACCGCCATTTGGGACAACCAGAATCCTAGCACTCACTATCTGTCTCGAGGTCTCTTGTCTCACTTCTGATTAAGAAGTATTTCTCATGTCATACAGTACAACCATGCAGTAGTGTGAAACATACTTTGCACGGCAAGGTGCATTCTGGTGACACTGGAAGATCAAAGAGGTCTTGCACCTGACAGATCCGGAAGTGCGCACTCACATGAGATGTGCTGCAGGGCTTATCAACTATGACCCTGAACCCTGAACTACGTGGAGAGGGTTTAAGGTGGAGAAACATGATGCCAAAACGGTTACACCCTTTAGTACCCTGCATGTTATCAACCCTTGAGGAAACCTCAGAACCCGAACCCCAAACCCGCAGCTCTGTACTTGTACCCGGCCTGAAAAGAGGGTCTCAGGCCTAAAACACTCAATTTTAGGGCTTGGTTTTAGGCCCTCTAGGATTTGTTAAACCTTGATTGAGCCTTGAAGGATTTCGGGTTTGGTGTTTGACTGTTTGAGGGTTGTAGCGATTCGGGAATACGTCAGAAGACACCACAAGACTTTCTATGTCGCTACCTTTCAAGCAACCCCTTACGCTCAACCGAGTACGTTTCTGGTTTCTGCAAGATTGTTATTATACTAGTACTAAGCAAACTGTATTCAAAAAAACAGCAAGACAACAGAAACCAGTAAACATGGTAACAATAATGCTACCTGTACGGCGATTCGGGGCTTCGGATTCGGATTTAGTGTTTGGGCTTTTCGTGTCAAGAGCGCCGGATCGCTGACTCAGGTAGCCACCCCGATTTCCCAAACCTCAAACCTCAGTCCCTTAAACCGCAAGACCCGATACGAACCCGTCTCAAAGAAACCCTTGTAGGAACTTGAAGGAACCAACCTACATTGAATCCTAAACCCTAGGCCTTAAGCCCTAAACCCTATCCTTAAAAACCTACATAAACCCCTGAACCCTACACCCTAAGCCCTAAACTCCTAAATATCCTTAAAGACCTACATAAACCCCTGAACCCTAAGCCCTAAACTCCTAAAAGCCTACCCTTACCCACAAACCCCAAGCTCTAAACATGAGACAAGTCCCGCCTCCTCCTCACGAATGACAAATCCCGTTTCCTGGCCGGCACAGGCTGGTCCGTCTTGTGTTGCAGGCTTGTATGGAATAGTAGAAGCCAGATAAAGTTGGAACGGACTTACCCTCATGCCCTTAAAGTAGAGCATAAGGGATCCTAGCACCGGCCATCCAAAGCCCATGCTCCAACTTTCTGGGGCACGCTGTGCTAGGATCTTGGAGAGCTTTAGGCTAATCAACAAAACCAATATAGGTGCCATAAGAACTCGAACAGGATCTTGGAGACAAAAGCCTGAACCCTAAACCTATAACTTTCTTAAGCCCCGAACCTTAGACCTTAAACGCTCAATCCTGAACACTGGTGGGTTTCGGCTGCAGGGTTCCGGACTCTGAGTACCCGGATGCAGCACAAACCATGGTTCAGCGTTCAAGGTTTAGAGGTTTAGGGTTTAGGGGGTAGCAACTCCAGTTTTGAAAGCCTACTTTTCTACTGAAGGGGTTTAGGGTTGTCGATTTAGGGTTTATAAGAGCTTTGATCCGCTTGAACAAATAGTACCTCTGGCTACACAGCAACACAGGACATCCCTTCAACGAAGGTCTTCTTGAGTGTGCGTATGTCTAGATCACTAGATTGCCGCCTGCAGATATTACTCAAAGTTGAAGCAAACTGCCGCAGACCGAAGTTGTCTTAGACATGCTTGATTAAGCACTGCAGCGTCCACGAGACCAGCTTTTGAGAACGGAGTCAACACGACTGAACCTTTACGACACGGAACATCAATCGCGGCTACAATTTGTAGATTGACACCAACATCTGACTAAGCCCAAACCCCCCGCACCATGAGAATCCTACATCCAAATACATACACACTTACCTACGTACATCCATCCTTACATACATAAATACACATACATACATGCATACATACATAACACTAAACACATAAGCCCTAAACCCCAAACCCGACATCCTAAACCCTATAGACCCCAACCGAAGCCCTAAACCCCAAACCCTAATTACATCCTAAACCCTATAGACTCGAAAACCGTCGACCCCAGTGCATAGCATCACCAGCCTCCCGGAGTTCCTCCAGCGCTGTCTGTCTGGCGCCGGCGACGATGTCGGAGCCATCGTCGCCACACTTCCACTTCTCCACCTAAGGGGCTAAGGGTAAGGGTTTTCGGTTTGGCTTTAGGGTGCTTCCACTTCTCCACCTTAGGCTTACTACCCCAATAAGCCACACAAATAGAAGGTCAAACTTTCCGATTCCTACTAAACTTTAAGAACCCGAAAAAGTTTAAAGGTTGGGTATTGAGGATCTAAGGAGGGGCTAAGGGTGAAGGGTTTTCGGTTTGGGGTTTAGGGTGTATGGTGTAGGGTGTATAGGGGCTAGGGTTCAGGGCGCAGGGTTTAGGATTTATCCTAGGGCTAGTATACAAAAAGTACCTGCCTGTGGGGTCTAATATTGTCTACAAATCGAGCCTACCTTGGGTGATTTCGAGGTGGAGGGCTTAGGATGTAGTTGGTTTAGGATTTTTGAGGTTTCCCTTTGTCCACGTCTGGAGTTCTTGTTCAGGCTCCCTTTGAGGTTCCCTTACGGTTTCCTGCAAGAGTTCCCTTACCGGTTCCTGAACGGTTTAGGGTTTACCTTAACCCTGAATAACCTACCTTTTTAGGGTTCCTCATTATGATTTCCTTATATAAGTCCTTAAAAAGATCTGTTCTTCAGGGTTAAGGTAGGGTTTAGGAACTAGTTCCTTTGCGGGTTCTTGAAAGCTTTGCATCTGACACGAGGGTATGGAGTTCCCTCTGCTTCACCTATAAGGGGCTTCTATCAGAGTTCAGGGGTGCTGTACGAAGGGTATATGGGAGTTTCCGACAATTAGGGGTACCTTATTTTGGGTCCTTATAGTAAGGATCCTACTATTTTCGGAAACCCCCATGTGGGTGGCTGCCACAATTGTGGTCCCGTTTTGGGTCCCTAATATAATACGGCACCTAATATTTACGGTACCCAAAAAGGGATCCTAATTTCGACAACCACCCACATACTACGCCAGCTTGATGCAGACTAAGCATAGACCCTGAAGGGGTTCCTTTACGGTGTTTCTTTCAAGGGCAGGTTCCGTTAAGGGTTCCTTTGAGAGGTTTCCCTAAAGGAACCCTAACCTCCTAAACGATCCGCTAAAGGAACCCTTAGACCCTGAAAGGAACCCTAAGTAGATCCCCTAAAGGAACCCTACTTCCACCCCGAAAGGAAACCTAAGTAGATCCCTTAAAGGAACCCTAAGTCCTAACTACATCCCTTAAAGGAGCCCTTACTAGATCATACGGGAGCCAACCGTAGCGAAGCCCTGCACTCCGGAGATTGCCCAGACACTCCAATATCCTTTAATTAAGGAATATTCCTTAAATCATATTAACTAGACCTAAGAGTAACCTAGGAATAAAAAGGGTGCCCTTTTTGGTTTAAAGGGGGCTTATAAGGGAACCTGAACCCTAAAACAAGGGAATAAGGGCCTACTCTGGGTCCTAGTAAATCATATCAAGGAGATTGCCATGCCGTACCTTTCATTAGTAGGGAATGGAAGAATGGTAGTAATAGTAGTTACAACTGTACCCCATTCCTCCATTCCCTACTAACCAAAGGTAAAGATCCCTTTAAAGGAACCCACCCTAAACCCCTATAGATCCCTTTAAAGGAGCCCTATTCCCTACTAACCAAAAGTAAGATGCTGGGCCGGGGTGCAATGCCACCGGGCGCTGATATCATGTTCGACTCGGAAACCTCCAGGGCTCCAAACGACAGGGTTTCGGGTTTAGGAGGGTTGAGGGTTTAGGGTTTAAGGTTAAGGGATTAGGGTTTCGGGTTTCGGGATTCTAGTTCAGGGTTGAGGGTTTAGGGTTTAAGGTTATGGGATTAGGGTTTCAGGTGTAGAGATTCTAGTTCAGGGTTGAGGGTTTAGGCTTTGGGCTTTAGGGATTAGGGGTTTAGGGGTTCTAGTTCAGGGTTGAGGGTTTAGGCTTTGGGCTTTAGGGATTAGGGTTTCGGGATTCTAGTTCAGGGTTGAGGGTTTAGGCTTTGGGCTTTAGGGATTAGGGTTTAGGGGCTCTAGTTCAAGGTTGAGGGTTTAGGCTTTGGGCTTTAGGGATTAGGGTTTAGGGGCTCTCGTTCAAGGTTGAGGGTTTAGGCTTTGGGCTTTAGGGATTAGGGTTTAGGGGCTCTAGTTCAGGGTTGAGGGTTTAGGCTTTGGGCTTTAGGGATTAGGGTTTAGGGGTTCTAGTTCAGGGTTGAGGGTTTAGGCTTTGGGCTTTAGGGATTCTAGTTCAGGGTTGAGGGTTTAGGCTTTGGGCTTTAGGGATTCTAGTTCAGGGTTGAGGGTTTAGGCTTTGGGCTTTAGGGATTAGGGGTTTAGGGGTTCTAGTTCAGGGTTGAGGGTTTAGGCTTTGGGCTTTAGGGGTTAGGGTTTAGGGGTTCTAGTTCAGGGTTGAGGGTTTAGGCTTTGGGCTTTAGGGATTAGGGTTTAGGGGCTCTAGTTCAAGGTTGAGGGTTTAGGCTTTGGGCTTTAGGGATTAGGGTTTAGGGGCCCTAGTTCAGGGTTGAGGGTTTAGGCTTTGGGCTTTAGGGATTAGGGTTTGGGGGTTCTAGTTCAGGGTTGAGGGTTTAGGCTTTGGGCTTTAGGGATTTTAGTTCAGGGTTGAGGGTTTAGGCTTTGGGCTTTAGGGATTCTAGTTCAGGGTTGAGGGTTTAGGCTTTGGGCTTTAGGGATTAGGGTTTAGGGGTTCTAGTTCAGGGTTGAGGGTTTAGGCTTTGGGCTTTAGGGATTAGGGTTTAGGGGTTCTAGTTCAGGGTTGAGGGTTAAGGCTTTGGGCTTTAGGGATTAGGGTTTAGGGGTTCTAGTTCAGGGTTGAGGGTTTAGGCTTTGGGCTTTAGGGATTAGGGTTTAGGGGTTCTAGTTCAGGGTTGAGGGTTTAGGCTTTGGGCTTTAGGGATTAGGGTTTAGGGGTTCTAGTTCAGGGTTGAGGGTTTAGGCTTTGGGCTTTAGGGATTAGGGTTTAGGGGTTCTAGTTCAGGGTTGAGGGTTTAGGCTTTGGGCTTTAGGGATTAGGGTTTAGGGGTTCTAGTTCAGGGTTGAGGGTTTAGGCTTTGGGCTTTAGGGATTAGGGTTTAGGGGTTCTAGTTCAGGGTTGAGGGTTTAGGCTTTGGTTTAGGGTTTAGGGGTTCTAGGTTCAGGGGTTCTAGTTCAGGGTTGAGGGTTTAGGCTTTGGGCTTTAGGGATTAGGGTTTAGGGGTTCTAGTTCAGGGTTGAGGGTTTAGGCTTTGGGCTTTAGGGATTAGGGTTTAGGGGTTCTAGTTCAGGGTTGAGGGTTTAGGCTTTGGGCTTTAGGGATTAGGGTTTAGGGGTTCTAGTTCAGGGTTGAGGGTTTAGGCTTTGGGCTTTAGGGATTAGGGTTTAGGGGTTCTAGTTCAGGGTTGAGGGTTTAGGCTTTGGGCTTTAGGGATTAGGGTTTAGGGGTTCTAGTTCAGGGTTGAGGGTTTAGGCTTTGGGCTTTAGGGATTAGGGTTTCGGGATTCTAGTTCAGGGTTGAGGGTTTAGGCTTTGGGCTTTAGGGATTCGGGTTTAGGGGTTCTAGTTCAGGGGGTTTAGGCTGTAGGCTTTGGGGATTAGGGATTAGGGTTTAGGGGTTCTAGTTCAGGGTTGAGGGGTTGGAGTTCCATTCCAGGCTTACGGTTTGAGTTTGGGGTCCCAGGTTTATCGTGTAGAGTTCCAGGTTTAGGGTTTAGGGTTTTGAGGGTCTAGGGTTTAAGGCTTATAGGACTTATAGGGTTGAGGGTTTTTAAGCTTTACGGTTTAGGGTTTATAGGGCGCATGGGGTTTAGGGCCTAAAGGGTTCTGAGGAGCTTCGAACCCTACCTACAGCATCATACCTTGCACCGCTTTTGGGGTACAGTACCTACTTATCAAAAACACAGGACCCCAACCATGCGACTGGGCATCGTAAACAAAAGGGGAAGGGTCTGACCCTCGAGGCAGTGTTTAGGCTCAGGATTTGGTGTGGGGTTCTATTCTGATTAGAGTTATACTATACCCCAAGACCGCAAAACCCCATTCTAATTCTCAAGACCTCTATGGGGGTCTCCGAAAAAGGATGACCCTAGTAAAGTATCCTAAATACTCGGATCCTCCAAAATACGGTACCCCGGTACCCCTCATTTTCGGAAACTCCTCTGTAGCACACAGAGGGTTATGCCCTGCTCCTATTTTACACCACCTCGTTGGGTTGCTGGGATCTGTTACATAGAACTGTAGGTATCCCAAAAAGAGGTTGGCTGTCGCCCTATATGTAGGGCTTAAGGCTTCAGTTACATAGGCTAGAGTTCACACTGAAGGGTTCTAGGGCTTTGGGTTTTGCGAACAGGTGGGGGTTGGGGGAGGGGGTTGATGGAGTAATGTATAGGGAATCGCAGCACCACTTGGTCTTAATCCGGTTTCCAACTTTATGGGGTCTACTTTATGATTACTAATCGTCAGCCCCCAGCACCGCCCACCTGCTTGCTCCTCCGATGCACGAGGAGGTAGTAGTTCTCCTCGCCTGAATGCCGACTTCAAACCTCAGACCCTAAACTAAAAACCCTGAAACCCTGATATTTTACCCTAAACCCTGAAACCCCAAACCCTGAAATCTCTAAAACCCAAAATTCTCAACCCTGAACTCGGAACGGAAGTACATTGCGAAGGCTAGACTGACGGTTTCCTAAACCGGGATGCAACAGCCCTCAAGCTTGACTTCCTGGCTCCTATTAAAAGATGCCGGAGTTGCACTTTGCAATTTGCAACTCGAGCAACCGCGACGCCTGCGACCGAACTTCTACGCTCCATGATCTGTAGGATCTGATATAGGGGCCTTACTACTATAATTATAATAGGGAACCACCAGAATAGTATAGGTACTGCAGGGTGGATCCCAAACATCTTCCACCCTCACCACACGACATGACCACCATCAGCCCTCTGGGCTTCAAAAGGATGCTTTGAACAAAACAAACCCTATACCCCTGAACCCCCGGGAGGATCTGGAAAGTAGATCCCCTAATTTGGGGCCCTATACTGCAAAAAGGTACTTTATGGGAACCCATTTAAGGGATCTACTTTTTGGATCCTCCCAGGGGGTCTGGAACCCCTGAACCGCCTTTAAACCCGAAGCTCTAACCCACACGGGCTCGAGAAAGCCAGGCTGCCGTCGTCCAGGAAGAGGTACATACCACAGGAGCCGACATTCCTCGGGGCTTAGTTAGGGATTCAGGGTTCAGCGTTTAGGTTTTCAGCGCCACTTCTCCGAATGCCCAGCTTGAAAAACTACGTATAAGCCCTAAAAGGCACCGGGGTTCAGGATTCATTATCATATACTAGACCCAAGAGTAACCCAGGAATAAAAAGGGTGCCCTTTTTGGTTTAAAGGGGCTGATAAGGGAACCTGAACCCTAAAAAAGGGAATAAGGGCTTACTCTGGGTCCTAGTATACTGCGGTTGCCGTATGTTTGTCTCCGGATGAAGTAAAGCCTAAACCGTATGACGTACAAGAGACAGCGCCTCAAGCACTTCAGGACAAAGACTACACACTCAGAGGGTGTTCAACGATACTTCTTTGAGATGCCTCGAGAAGAAACAATAAACATGAAAAGGCAAAAACAACAAATTAAAACTAAAACTGTACCTGAGAGCCCCAAAGCTGGAAGCCTGAGCCATTAACCCCGAACCTAAACCCTGAAATCGGAAACCCGTTACCTGCTTTGTTTCAGGTCAAGCTGCTTTTGCTTCTTCCCCCTGCCCATGGCTGCGAGTAGAAATCGCTTAGCGGGTCGAGGGTGCAGGGTTGAGGGTTTAGGGTTTGGGTGTAGGGCACGGCGGCATTTAGGGACGTGCCCGTGGTGCGTCTGCTGGTGCTGCTGATTCAGCTACGCAGGCGATGCCTCCACTCGAAATTTGTTGCGTTATCACTTTCCCAACTTGATTCGGGAACCGGTGCAGGGGGAGGAGTCATCGGGCGCACGGTTCGCTTCAGGGTTGCGTGGGGTGTTGTAGGGTCCGCAGGGCTTACCCAGGTCCTCAATTCTGTGCTCGGGAGCCGCTACCGATAGTCTCTAGTGTAGTTCCTTTTTGGGGTTACCTTATAGGATGCCAAGTCTATATTTGGCTAAACCAAAAAAGGGGAACTACAATGGAGACTGTAGGTAGAATCTAAACGCTTCGAGCCGACACAAGCGGCTTGGACTTTGCAGATGTTGGAGCATTCCTGCATTGGGCTACCCCAAGCCCTAAACCCCAAATGCCTTGGGGGCACTAACATTTAGAACGGAGATTCCGGGAACTCAAGACCCTATTAGCCCTAACCCTAAACCCTAAACCCTAAACCCTAAACCCTAAACCCTAAACCCTAAACCCTAAACCCTAAACCCTAACCCTATTAGCCCTATTAGTGGTTCGTTCGTAGGAGCCCGACACTGTCATTACATCCTATATCCACGGCCCTAAACGGTAGCAGCCGAAACCCGAAACGCAGCATCCCGTCTGATATCCCGATAACCTAAAGCCTAAACCCTAAACAAAGGAAGGCTTAGGAAGTTCAGGGTGGAGTCAGGGTCTATTCTACCCCAGACGGCCTGGCAAATTAGATCAAGGCTCCTTAAGGGTTAGGGGCTCCTCTAAGGGTTCAGCTAGAGGGCTTCTATGGTGGATAGATTCAGCCTCGAGTTTATCCCACCCCTAAACCCTAAACCCTTAACGTCAGGATACCTCAGGCAGGCAACCAAAGCACCAAACCCATCATCTAAACTCCTTACACCCTCCCATCAACACCTGTAACATCCTCAATGGCAAGCTAGAAGCTACAACATCTCCTGCACCCGAAAAGCCTTAGGCCCCAATCCTTAAATCGAATCCCACACTTTTTCGTCTGGCCGGAGCTCTTGTCACCTCCCATCAGGGAGTCTATGTCTGCCGCAACGGGTTCTGCCGATGAATATAGAAGGATCACTTTATAGGGTTGAAGAACGAATAATACCGTTTGATTGGGGGTGAACAGTTGATAATGCAATCTGTTCGGGCTCCTTATTTGCAAGCCTTATAACACAACGCCCACCAAAACCCCAATGCCTAAACCCCAAACCCTGAACTCTCACTAACCAGAAAGGATCCTAGCTTGCCGACACTGGGCCGATCGAGGGTTCCTTCAAGCGGATCCTTTAAGGGCTAAGGGTCCCTACTCCGAGTGCCGAGCTTATATCAAGCCATTTTTTAGGGGCGGTTTAGGGGCCGTTTAGGGTTTACCTTAACACTGAATAACCTACCTCTTTAGGATTCCTTGTTATGATTTCCTTTTGGAAATCCTGAAAAAGCAGGATATTCGGGGTTGAGGTAAGGGTTCATTTGGGGATCAGCGTGGCTTCCTGACGGCTTGAGGCGCAGGGAATACAAGCTTACACGGGCTGGCGCTTTGAAACCCTCGAAATGAGTCGCAAATAATCCAACTAAGCCCTGTAACTACGAATCTCGGATAACCGAATGGTTTGTGAAGACAAGCTTGAAATGCGATCTCAGGCAGGAACACTTGCAGCAGGAGTCTAGTGCGTGGAAGGTCTTCGACCGTTCCACTGCAAACTAGCTTGCCATCACGGCTTAGGAAACCCTACCCCTAAACCTTGTACCGCTTAGGGCTCAGCGAGGCTGCTTCACCTTCTCGCAATAGAGCTGAACGAACTCGCTCAGGGAGGCGTTCAGCCGGGGCATCTGCCGACAGAGTGCGGATCTACTTAGAGGCCCAGTGGACTTAGTAAGTCGGTTATAAGTAGGGTTATAATTGGGGTAACTCCATTTAGGAAACTTGTAACTTTACTTATGACTCATGACCTGCTTACTAACTCCCCTCGGCCTCTAAGTCGGGTTTAGGGTTTAGGGCTCTGAACGGCTGCAACCTCATGGCCTTCACACTTCGTACAGGGTTTACGGTATCAAACCACGGTCCCAAACGGATTGATTTGCTTTGGTTGTATTTGGCAACTTGAACGGCTAACTGCTGCTGTTATCTTTTCAGCCCGACACCCTGAACCCAGAAACCCCTGAACCCAAAACCCTTGAAAGCTCAACCCCTACCCTCAACCCCTCAACCCTTGAACCCTAAAACCCCTAAATCCCTTGTAGATCCATTTATACAGCCCTTTAAGGAACCCAAACCTTTAACAAAGCCCCTACACCCTTTAAGCCCTAGTCCTAGTCCCTAAACCCTCAACCCTTTAAGCCCCAGTCCCTTCGCTTCGCCTTTCCGCGCACGAAGTCCACGACGTGGCCCAGGCTCTTCCGGCAGGCATCACAATGCGGAAGCGGACGCAAGCCAACCTTCCGTTCGTTTCTAAGATTAATGTAGGGGCCCTGATATTACTTGGACGACGGTTTGGGGGTATGATGTACTATAGTATAATAAGGAACTCCCAAAACCCTATCACAATGCGGAAGCGGACGTAAACCAACCTTCGGCTCGTGACTAAGATCAGAGGTTTATCCCAGTTTTGTTGAACCTATGTCTATGTTGAAACCGAAACGATTCGTGGTTAAGCTCGTAGGTTTGTGGGTGCTGCCAGAATCACGCACGAGTGAGTCCAGGACCAAAACGCTAAACCCCCAAACCCCGAAAACCAAACTGCTAAGCTGCGAAACCCCATAGAGGCCTTAACTTTAAACCCCAAACTCCAAACCCTAACCTTGCCCTCTTTGTTCCGCTTCTGTCCCAGAGCCGGAGAGTATCGGAACGGACTCGCAAGAGGAGCAGGAAGGCCCTAAATCCTAAACTTGAAGTCCGAAATCATACCTGGACCCTAAGGAATCTACCTTTTTTCGGGTTCCCTAATATGATTTCTTTATATAAGACCTTAAAACGGTAAGTTACTTGGGGTTAAGGTATAAGCCCTTGAACTACCAAAGCCTACCTTCTTTCAGTCTTTGAAGGACCTACGATATCCACATTAGTGTTCATGAGAACCTACAAACAGGTACGTTAGGGCAGTTCAGGGTAAACCCTAAATATGCCCTAAAACCCTAAACCCTACGTAGGAACTGCTGATGGACAAAATCCTGCATTACCAGTTATAAGGAATATACCGTCGTTCCCATAGTTTAGAGTCCTTAGAGTGATGCAGGATTTTGTCCATCAGCAGAAGAACTAGGAAGATCTGACTAGGAGCCCCACTGCGATCCTCCGAGAAAAGGCCGCCTTATGCCTTACCCGGGGCTCGAGAAATAGTATATACTTAGGCCCTTAAAAGGATCGTTTATCTGTATGTCTATATATATATATATATATATACATATATATGTATATATATATATACATATATGTTTATACATAAATGTTCAGAATTTAAGGCCACAGTGCCATCCTTCCAACATAAACATTACATCGCTAAAGCATAGGGTTTGAGATTTAGGGCATTATGCCCCCCTCTAGCAGACCCAACCCAACCCTCAATAAAACACGCGAAACGTGACGCTGAACCCGAAACCCCACTACCCTAAACCCCAAACCCTAAACCCCTAGACCCTAAACCCTTAAACCCCTTAACCCCTCAACCCCTAAACCCTGAAACCCTAAACCCTCGTACCCTGAACACGCTTGCCTGGATCTCGGCAGCTCTGGCCAGCAGTTGGCGCATCCTTTGGAATCACAGCTGGGATCCTACCCTAGTGTAGGAATCTGATCAAGAAACCCTGGGCCTGTAACCCCCCAATATATTAGGATTCATATAAGGAACCCTATTAATAGCCCAAGGTTTCCTAATGAAGAGCCTGCATTACAAGCCCAGCTACCGGTTTCTGGTCGATTGGTGTAGGGAGGGTTTTTATACGGTTTAGGAACATGGACGGTAACTCAGCATCACACAAGTAACTGGGCTTCTAGTGCCACGTCAAGCCTTTTTCGAGGGTAGGAGCTGGGTTGTATGCATGCGGTTCCTGTAAAAGAGATCTGCCAGGCATGGTTCAAAAATGGAGGTTGCTGCATATCTACACACCGCTCACCAGATTCCCGTGCACTCTACGTAGATTCCGAAGAGAATAATGGGTTTGGGATACCCTAAACCGCTAAATCCTAAGCCCCTGAAACCTAAACCAAGTAACACTCTCAGCACCAAACCCCGAACTGCCAAAACAAACCAAAGCCTCTGGCCAAAACAACCAAACGTATGTAGAATAACTGTCTTTCAGACGTGTTGGGCCATCTTTTCTTACCTACATACTCTTACCTACTCTTGGGGGTTCTGGTAACCCCTCAAGCCGAAAGGGCCTAATACTCATCTGCCCTCTAAACTCGTGAACTAGGTCGGCCCTTTAAGGCATTTGAAAAATAATTACTCGTAAGTAAAAGCCGCTTAAGCCCAACAAACGAAAACATAAAATGTCCCAACGGTCTACCTAGTAAGTAGGAGCCTTCTTAAGCTTAGTAAGGGGAAAGATAAACAGTCCCAAAGGTCCAGTGAAAGTTTGCTGGAAAATCCTTCTCAACCCCTCCCCCGCAAGCCCCAAGAAACAGCTGAGAGAAGGGCTGCCCCTCATCGAGGTAGACGGTGGGAAAGACCCATCCTCTCTTGGCGGGGTTTGCATAGGCGCTTAAGGATTTACATGGGAGTTTCCGAAAATTAGGGGTACCCGTATTTGGGGGTCCTTATAATAAGGATCCTACTATTTAGGGTGCTATATTAGGGTCCCCTACTTTCGGAAACTCCCACATAAGTTCAGAGGCCTAGTTTAAAGCAGAACGCTCTGCACAGAGACTCCAATACCCCTT